GCAGCAGACTCACAGACTCCAAGAAGGAACTTGTGGTTACCAAAGGGGAGGTATGTGGGATGGCACATGGGGAGGGAGAGAGAAGGGGACTGAGGGGTATTATGTTTAGTACACATGGTGTAGGGGATCACGGGGAGGACAGAGAAGGCACATAGTGAATCTGTGGTATCTTACTACACTGATAGACAGTAACTGCACTGGGGTATGAGTGGGGACTTGATAATATGGGTAAATGCAGTAACCACATTGTTTCTTCATGTGAAACCTTCATAAGAATATATATCAATCATACCTTAATAATAAAAAAAAATCCCCCAGCTCCATCCATGTTGTTGCAAATGGTAGGATTTGCTTCTTTCTTATGGCTGAATAGAATTCCATGTGTATATGTACCACATCTTCTTTATACATTCATCTACTGATGGACACTTAGGTTGCTTTGATATCTCAGCTATTGTAAAAAGTGCTGTGATAAACATAGGGGTGCATATGTCTTTTTGAATCTGAGAAGTTGTATTCTTTGGGTAAATTCCAAGGAGTGGGATTCCCAGGTCAAATGGTATTTCTCTTTTTAGTTTTTTGAGGAACCTCCATACTGCTTTCCACAATGGCTGAACTTGCTTACATTCCCACCAGCAGTGTAGAAGGGTTCCCCTTTCTCCACATCCTCGCCAGGATTTGTTGTTCTTAGTCTTTTCAAAGCTGGCCATCCTTACTGGTGTGAGTGATATCTCATTGTGGTTTTAATTTGCATTTCCCTGATGACTAGTGATGTGGAGCATATTTTCATGTGTCTGTTGGCCATCTGAATTTCTTCTTTGGAGAACTGTCTCTTCATATCCTCTTCTCATTTGTTAATTGGGTTATTTGCTTTTTGGGTGTTGAGGCATGTGAGTTCTTTATATATTTTGGATGTTAACCCCTTGTCGGATATGTCATTTACAAATATATTCTCCCACACTGTAGGATGCCTTTTTGTTCTGTTGATGGTGTCCTTTGCTGTACAGAAACTTTTTAGTTTGATGTAGTCCCATGAGTTCATTTTTGCTTTTGTTTCCCTTGCTCGAGGAGATGTGTTCAGGAAGAAGTTGCTCATGCTTATATTCAGGAGATGTTTGCCTATGTTATCTTCTAAGAGTTTCATGGTTTCATGACTTAGATTCAGATTTTTAATCCATTTTGAGTTTACTTTTGTGTATGGGGTTAAACAATAATCCAGTTTCATTCTCTTGAATGTAGCTGTCCAGTTTTGCCAACACCAGCTGTTGAAGAGGCTTGTCATTTCCCAATTGTATGTCCATGGCTCCTTTATCATATTAATTGACCATATATGCTTGGGTTTATATCAGTGCTCTCTGGTCTGTTCCATTGGTCTATGGGTCTGTTCTTGTGCCAGTACCAAATTGTCTTGATTACTGTGGCTTTGTAGTAGAGCTTGAAGTTGGGGAGCATAATCCCCCCTGCTTTATTCTTCCTTCTCAGGATTGCTTTGGCTATTTGAGGTCTTTTGTGGTTCAATGTGAATTTTAGAACGATTTTCTCTAGTTCATTGAAGAATGTTATTGGTATTTTGATAGGAATTGCCTTGAATCTGTAGATTGCTTTAGGCAGGATGGTCATTTTGACAATAGGTAATACATCATTTTTATGATAAGAAGAAACAATGTTGTTTCTTTTGAAAAATAGAAGTTCAAGGGCCAATAATCTGGGGTGTTTGAGTCACAGGCACTTTCACATTTTCCGGCTGCCTGCCATTTTCCCCACTTGGCCTCCACACTTCCAATTAAAAGAGCATATCAGGTTGAGAACTAAGGGATGGGAGGGGCTCTTTGCGGTTTAAAGTCTCTGCTTAATTCACAGTGAGTGGTACCACTGCAGGGTCTGGACGGCCTTCTCTGCACGGTGCATGTTGCAAAGAATAAGGTGCTTTCCTTGAATGAAAGGTTTGCCATCCCCCAGCAGCTGGGGGCTGTGCCTCCTCCTGTAGCAGGAAATCAATGCCTGGGGGTCCCCAAAGCCCAGACTTGCTTTTTCTGTGTTAGGAGGAGGTCCGAGATGGCTGGGTGATTTGCATTTCTATAGGCCTTTCACTAAGGATCTAAGAGCTTGGAGCTATTAATCCTCATTGCAAACTCTGGAGGCCCTTGGCGGCCTGGAGGGGACCAGTTGACTGGGGCTTTAGGGGAGATACAGTGTTCTACCAATGACTGATGCACCATTCTTGAAGGGCTCCCACCAGTAAGATGGCAAACTTTCGGCTTCTCTTTGGGGGTCCTCGGTTCCCGCCGGCGCCACCTGAAGCCCAATCACCTCTCGCCCCCCTCCCAATCCCAGCACCTAGCCAACAGCCACCAGCCCCGTAGAAATAACACCACAATCACCCCATGCCCCTTCCTATATAACTCAGCACCTTTCCCTAATAAAGTGGAATTCTCCGGTGAATTGCTGCTGTGTGTCGCTCCTTTCCTTTCAATTCTACTGAAAGGGGTTTGAAATTATTCAGTTTTATCCATAATCTCTCTTCCACCATGTTTGCAAATCCTACAGAAATAGTTCAAATTTTCATTTTAATCAGTAGCTAAGCTAGGAGATGCTAACTCAGTTAACAGAAGGAGGCAAACAAGAGAAGAAAGAAGACATTTAAGATCTGGTCTCCACAAGACTCTGCTTCCAAGAATCACACTGTTTTAACCCAAGGTTGATCACACCACTGAAATAAGAACTTGAATAACTGGAAATTTTCACTTTCTCAAAAGTGGTTCCTGCCAGAATAGACATTTCAATGTTCCGGACATTCTTTTCAAGGGGCAACGTGTGATAGATTTCCTACGTTAAATGGCTGTAGTTTTGAGAACTGGAGATACTCAGAATATTGGCTTAAAGGCCTCATAAATGGGCACTAGGACCTGTCTGCAAGCAGCTCTCTTCCCCGACCAGCAAGCAAGCCTTTACTTAGAGAGCAGAGCCCATCACAAAGCCTGGTCAGGAAGCCCAATCACATGGGTCACCCTTAGGCCGACTCCCCACTGGGGCAGAGCACCTCCAGCTAATCTGGAAGTTTGGTTATATGCCAAGGGGACCAGTTATATAACTCTGAAAGTTTAAACTTGGGGAAACATGCACACATACCTAAACAAGAGTCCAGTGAAAGGAGAACACCATAACACTGGATCCCGTTTCCCTATTATATTGTCCTGGGAAGCAATAAAAATATACTAATTGTTACATCTACCTCTCTTCCTGTCTGCCCAAATGACTACATCATCCAACTGATTAAAAAGAACTTAGTGTCTCCCAGGGCCCTTCAAAAGTCATCCCCTGTGTGCACATAAAAGTGAAAAATATTTATAAATGTCCATTGTGCTCATCTTTGCATTTTTTTCTTACAACCAGTGCGGAAGGCTGGGCACATCTCCCAGCCCCCAAGAGTATGAAGAGGGCTCCTTCCCTGGAGCCCGTGTGTCTGTGAGAATCAAAGGCACTGAATGGGGCTGGTCAGCAGGAAGCATGCCCTTGCCACCAGGCCACGGGGGTCTGAAAGCAGGGGCAGGGCAGAGTTCAGTAATGGCCTGAAACAGGGACAAGCTGAGAGGGAAGGTCTGAGCAAACATGGCCCAGCTCCCAGAACCCAGCTTAGGGCTCTGTGTTTCTGTTTCCCATCACCTGGTTGCTGCCAGAAAGTTCCATGGAGAGCTGCAGGGCCAGGAGGGCCAAGAGGCAGTCAGGCGCCTGCAGGACAGGCAGCTTTTCCAGGTGGGTGCAGAGAGAAGGAAAGGAAATGAGCTTGGTGCTGGGAGGGAGGGAGACGGAGACGGGCCTCAGGCTAATCCCTGTGGGAACTTCGCTTGGGGAGACTAGGGTTGGGGCCCAGGAGTCAGGGCCCTGGGTGCTGTCCCATGAGAGAGCTAATTTCACCGTCCCACCCAGCCCTGCTCTGCAGGAGAGAGTCCTGAGCCGGTGGGGAGGGGGACGACTTGGAACCAGAAGGGGACTGTCCCTGGGATCCCCCACCCCCAACACTCCAAAATCGGCCTGCTATTGCGGCTCTGTGTCTTGCCCAGTGCTAAGTGTGGGCTGGGTGGCAGGATGGCTGGGCGCCCAGGCTTTGATCTTGGATGTCTCTGGGGTTGAGCCGGGGCCCTGCAACCTCAGGCCTCACCAAGTTTCCCTTTCCCCTGCGGCGATGTGGGATAATAATCATTCCTTTCTTGCAGGACTGCAGTGAAAGCTAGATGATACAATGTGAATAAATCACTTAACCTGGTGGCTCCTACATAGTCATAATTCAGTGGTGATGATTATTATTATGGTGTCTACTAGTTTTTCAGAGCTGCTGTAACAGGGCAGTGCAAACTGGGTGGCTTAAAACAACAGAAATATTGTTTCCCAGGTAGGGAAGCTAGAAGTGTGAGATGCAGGTGTGCTCAGAAGTGGTTCCTCCAGAGGTCTGTGAGGGAGAATCCGTCTATGCCAGCCACTCTCCTTGCTTCGGGGGGGGGTTTGCTGACAATCTTTGGGTTCTGGGCTTATAGCTGTATCACTCCAGTTTCTGCCTTGGCCGCCCATAGCGTCCTCCCTGTGTGTCTCTGTTGTCACGTGTCTGTCACATGCCTGCCCTACTGCAGTATGACTTCCTCTTAGTGGAATGACCTCTGCAAGGACCCTATTTCCAGATAAGGTCCCATTGGCAGGTAGTTGTGGTTAGAACTTCAGTGTCTTTTTGGAGGGAACACAATTCAGCCCATAACAGGAGGGATAGGGTTTTGTCTATTACTGTTATCATGATACTGTTTTATTCATTTTCTAATGCTGACTAGCTTGGTGTTCTGCAGGGGGCAGCCCAGCCCCAAATGCTGGCTGCTGGGCAGCTTCGTAAAGTAGCGCGGTACAGTCTCCGCTGGTGGCTCCCTGCGGCTATCCAATGCACCCCTCGCCCAGAGCAGGGGACTCCTCTGCCCTCCACTGCCCCTTCAATCCCAGGGAGCGCCCCTCTGCCTTACCACTCTCTTCCACCATGTCTTCGCCATCTCGAACTTCTGCTCAGTGCACATGGGTGCAAACGGCAGCCTGACCCTGAATCCGTGCAGTGTGCCCATACAACACCGACTCCTGGGACAGTCTGGCTGCCGAGTAGCTGCTCTTTCCACCCCACTAAACCCGCCTCAGGCCGGGAGGTCGTCCTGCTAGTGGAAGAGGTGCCAGCGGCCCAGCCCTCCTACAGGAATAACTTGCTTTGCAGTCCCTGGCTTTCCTCAGGGTGGTGTCCCAATCCTTTTGTGTCTTTTTTTTCATTTTCCAAATGTGTCCTATTTTAAATGCATGAGGGGACTTTTACTAATTAAAGACACCTGTGGTCTATCCTTGCTGTCACCAGGATAACATAAGCACTCACTACCGTATTCTCGGCAAATCCAGATTTTCATAGGTGGAACTGAGTTTGCTTAAGGTGGGAGCGCACCTAGCACCGCTTTGCAGCTCAAAAGCTTGGGTGTGACTGTCAGCGCAAGATGAAGCGATGACAGGCATAGTCAGGCCACTGATGTCTGACTGTTGTCAGGGCCTGCCGTGCAGGATCTTTCTGGGTACTTGGATTCGTGTCTTCTCTCCCTGAAGGGTGGCGGCAGTGGGCTCGTGACACCTAGATTACCATGAACATTTCTGATCGGCCCCTCCTCAGAGTTCGCAGACCCCCACAGCAGGAGCCTGCCTCTGTATCTGGATCCCCATCCTTCAGCCCAGGCTGCCTACATCAGGGGCAGCGACCTCTGGAACTGAATTGCCAAGCCCAGAAAGTTCTTTCTGAGTACATCTACCTGGTTTGGAGTGAAGGGGGGATGGGAAGAGAAATTCTCTGTCTTCTTTTAGAGTTGCCATACTTAACAAATAAAAAACACAAGACACACATTAGACTCTCAGATAACATCAAATAACTTTTTTTTTACCACCCTACCCATTTTTAGATGTGTAGTTAAGTAGTATTAAGTGTATTCGCATGATGACAAATAATGTTTTGGTAAAAATATGTCCCAGTCTACAGTTGGAACGTATTTATACTAAAAAATAATTCATCAATTGATCTGAAATTCAAGCTTAACTGAGCAGCCTGTATTTTATCTGGCAACTCTACCCTCTTTGCTCTGGCTTATCTCATTTATTCATTTGTTTGTTTATTTACATTTATTTATTTTTATGTATTTCCCTGAAGAGACAACAGTATCTTCAGGGAATTGAGGCCATCTTGATCCCTGTCCTCCTAGGTGAGCGGCTGGCAGCCTAGGACACATATAAATAAGCTTAGAAGGTGATTTTTTGAGTAGTCAAGACCCTGAATGAAGTCACAGAGCAGTGGCAGTGCCTCTTTGGCGCTGCCCATCTCTCCCTGCAGGGCCCACTTGTCATCTCGCCCCTCTCTGGGTGGCCCCCTTCCAGGTCATCAGCTCGTCCTAAATGATAAAGGATGAAGTGTTAGCTGTTGATATGTTTAAAATGTGACCTCTTCTCAGGCATGCTTATTTATGTTCCTCAATGGACTCAAATGATCAAGAAAGAAGGGTGGTGCCTAGATGCTTGTATGGGGTGAGCTTGCCAGGGTCCTGGGTCCATGGAGCCCAAGATGCTCATGACTGCTCGCCTCTCCCAAGACCCCTTGCCTTGCAAATCGGAGAGGAAGGTATTGTTTGCAAGAAACTCTTAAGGACTCCTTGTTTCATGGTGAATTCAAGTCCCCCTTGATGCTCTATTTTTATGGAACCTAGACTCGCAGAGTGGAGATACTCCCTAAATGAGAACTCTTTAGAGGATGGATAGCTCCAGTCTAACTTAGTGCAAACCATTTGTGACCCAGGGGCATGGAGACAGAGACAAGAAGAGCTTTCTCCTCATTGCTGTGGTGGGAGTCCTGGTGAGCTTTGGAAATATCTGCCCAGCTTGGGTGGGCCCACTATACTCAGATACATGTCAGGTTGGTGATGGACAGTGTGTTAGGCACCATTAAGATACACACAGTGACCCACATGCACAGCCAGTCCCCTCCTTTCAGGACTTGTTTTGCAACTGATTATGGTAGTAACAGAATAAATCACATAACCATCTCAATAGGTTTCTAATGGCAATTCAGTTCAAAACATATTGAACACTGTCCCATGCTGAGCCATGTAATAGAAGGTGGGGTACAAGGACAGCGAAGACATGCCCCCCTCATGGAGACCCTTGTGGTCAAAGGGTAAAGATGGACCACAGTACTGCCGATCACAGCACAGAGTGGTTTGTGCTGTGCAGATGGGGGCACAGGATGCATAAGAGCGCAGGAGACGTCTACCCCCAAACTGGGCGTTGGGGGATTGGGAGAGGTGAGCAAAGAAGGCTTCCTGAGGGAGGTGATTCCCGGCAAGGTCTGAAAGAGCAAGAGGCAAGTTAAACTAAGGCATCTCTAAAACAGAAGCCAACTCAAGGGAGGGCCACCTTCGGGCAGTAGAGACCTGGCCTGCCACTGTCCCTGGCTGAGCTCTATCAACCCCTCTACTCTAGCCCCAGCATTTCCTTTGATTGTCCCTCTAGTGAACCTTACCAGCCATGAGTAAGACAGAAAAGTAGAATCCTCTTTCTTAAGCTTTCTATTTACTCATTTCAGCCAAGCAGTTAATTAATTTTGGGAGATACCCAGAGTGATTCCAGCACTTTCATCCAAACTTCAATTAATGCAAAGCTTCACTGAGGTTGTTCTGCAGTTTTCAGATTTATTTTCTCTGGTTTTAACACTGAATAGACCTCCTTTGAGGCCAGTGGCTTAGCGGGGGCTGCTCGGTCACTTGCTGGTCTCCATTTTCTGCAGCTCAGCTGTAACTAAGGATTTTGACCACCAACTGGGCTTTCAGCACCACTGTTGCTTGAGGGCCTGGACATAAAGGTCGCTGTTGGCCCCAAGAAGCCTTGCCCCGCCCTGCGTCCATAGGCATTTCCTCCCACAGCCATGTCAGCATGCATTCTGTTGGACTACTTGGTTCACACATGGAGGGTATTGCAACCCAACTAAAATATCTGGAAAAATGATAAGACTCTTGGGGAAGGTTTATAAATTAAAACCTTAGGAGCCAAGGGTCAATGTCAGGGAGAAGACGTGAACCCAGGGGTGGCTCAGGCCAAAGCAGAGGAGATGGGGGCGATTACCCCCTGTGCACCCTGAGGATCCCTTTTGCATAAGGGGACTCCGCAGGCATTGTGCAGCCCCAAGGCACACTGCACAGACATATTTGAGATGTGCTTGAAGGATACAACAACCAGATACATCAAAATTTAAGAATGACTAAGAATAGCTTGGAGTAGGCAGAGAATATCTTTAGTCTGAGCATCTCATCTGAGGCCGGTGGCCTTCCGGTATCAGAAGCCTCTCAGAGGGTAAGTGCAATGGGTTTTGCAGTTATTTTCTTCAATTAGTCTTTCAATGTACTCAAGCCTTCTTCTACCTCCCTCCCCTTCCCTCCCTCCTCTATCACTTCCCACAGTTCCCCGTCTTTCCCACTGCTCATCACGGGAATGGGTCACATTTCACTGTGACATCTGCTTGGCTTTGACTTATCGAATCCGCCTTTACCGTATCAATCATGTCCTTATCTATGTCACCAAGAAGCCATGACCCAGACTCAGAACCATAATTCTCAGGGTAATGAGGCCAAATTCAAACTAAGAGGCTCAAGGAGATTCTAGAAGAGAGAGTTTTGTGAAACCCACCTGGGCTGGAAAAACTTACCAAATTAGAAGAAATGTTACTTTTGTGTAGAGGAAGCAAACAAAATTCAGATGGCTAGAAGGATAGGAGTCCTACCAGATAGAGAGATGAATCATTGGCACTAGTTTGCGGTCTCTCCTGTTTTAAAAAACAAGCCTTCACATAATCCAGTTTTCCTTTAAGTGATCTTTGTAACCCTTTCTGTCCTACCATTATCAGCCTTTCCAACCAGGAAGCCACTGCTTCCATTTCCTGCTGCCGTTCTCTCTTCCTCCAGAAACGTGATGGAACAGCACCCTCAGGAGTCATTTATATCTAGAACCTATGTTCTCGCCTCATTGCTTTTTATTTTCTGCTTTCCTTGATAGTAACCAGTGATCATCATTTTCTCTTTGAAGCTATTTCCTGTCTAGGCTTCCATGGTTCTGCTGCTATGTCTGTGGTGTTTCATCTCCACACACACATACACACTTTCAGTCACTATGATGTACTGGCTTGACAAAGCAATATCCATTCATTTCAAATAAAGACAGATGTTGAACTATTACCAGATTAAATACATATCTAATACATGGAAGCTTCCAGAAATAAAATGAGATCTCAAAGCAAGAACAGTAAGCAGGAGCTGAAGCATAAATATCTCATAGGGGGATTGGGATTGAATTTAAGCTCACTGGAAGCTGAGGTTTTAACTCTTTCTTGGGGAACAGAGTCTAAGCCATGTGCCCAGTGTACAGTGGTAACTGGAACTAAGCTTCCTGAATAAAATTGAGATGCAAAGTGGCTGCCTATCATAGAAGAGACTAGGGTAGTGTCAAAGAAACTGGCTTTCCATCAGGCCTATGGATAGAAAAGTAATCATTCACAAAATTTAGACTGCAGACCAGTACTGAGCAAGCTGTGATGCAGGGAGCCCAAACTAAAAGATTAATATTAAAGATTACTCCAGAGTACATGAATCACAAAGATCCTCGGAGAGGTAAAAGAAAGAAAGACTGACTTCTAAAGATGCTTCTGCACCCCGGGGCATGTGGAATTCCTACAAAAACAACATTCCTGAAGATTACCTCACACTCAATAGTTAGAAATTACAAAGGGACACAAACTATCATGGGAAGAGTCAAGAATTATAAATAATAGGAAAATATCTGAAAAAATCTTTAAAATAAGTATGCTTAAAATATTGAAAGAATATTGAGTATCATCAACTGAGTATAAAAAGTAGCGGCATAATTTTAAAAAAAGTAGTGTTTTTAAAAACACTAATTATTGATAAACAAGCATCAACAGGGGGAGCCATGCTCTGGATATAGGTAGAGAGAATTGATTACTTCGAAGAAAATCCAAGGGTAATATTCAAGAATAAGCATTGGAGATGGAGAGGT